AGAGGGGTTTTGTAGAAACCTCGCAGTTAATAGATAGTAAAAGTGCTCAGGTGCACTGACTCAACTCAACTAGCCTCAACATATATATATAGTATTTAAAATAAAATAATGATGAATATTGTTTTATAATTTTGTTACTTTATACTTTGAATACCGTAGTATAATATATTTTAACTTACAGTTCTAAATGAAAACTGAACTGAGCAACAGTTTCTGAAGAAGCGAACTTTGTATCAACGATGATAAAATGCCGTAAATAAGATAGAATCTTACATACACTAGTCTAAATGCATGAGTATTGTACTATTAAGGATTTTTCTTTTATGATCATACTTTAAATCTATACTGATATCTATAGAATTAAAAATATGAATATATAAAGTAATTATCCTCTCAATTCTTTTTTACAGATACGAAGAGTGCACTTTGAATCGTAGTACAATCAATCGTCTATGCGTGGCGGAGCTAAGAGTGGACTCGTAAGAGTGAAAAACTTAAAACATACCTTATACGAATAAATAATAGGGAAGAGTGCACTTTAAATCGTCTATGCCAAGAGTGGTTTCGTAATGAAAGTGAAAAACTATCAAATACGAATAAATAATAGTCCATAGGTCTTGTTACAAAATATGGACTTGGAAACTTAAATTAAATCTTAGAAAATCACGTACTAAGAATTAGTGCTGTTCATAGTATTCGGATATTTTAAAACCCGAAATTATTCGATTAATCCGATATCAACGAAGTCTTCGGAGTTGAAAAAAAAAAAATGGGAATTTTTTTAAATCCGTAGTGTTCGAATATCCAGATTTAAATTATTCGGAGAAGTCATGAGCAAAAGTTAATCGGAGAGCATAATAATAAAGATAATAGAATTTGTGGTTGTTTGTACGATTTTATGTGTTTGGTATTTTACGCAGAATATTATATGTATGTAACGTTTGTTTTATTTTATTTTCTTTTATTTTATTAGATATTATTAAATAAAAAATTTACATTTTGTTTACTTTCTAAAATGTGTGTCACGTAAATTATGTTTCGAAAATAATGGTAGAATAATAACGGTGGGGTGTCTCCAATTTTGTTTGTGTGATGGGAAAAAATATATTTAAGACGAATTTATGTCAATGACTGGGAATAAGTTGCAAGAAATTAAGAAGACTGGAGGAGTATTACAATGCAAAGACTGTTTTTCAGCTACAGTGGCCACGAAGAAGACATTACAACATTCAAATCTCCATATACTAACAATTGCCTTAAATACAGTTGTTAGAATATGATCTTAAAGCTCACAATGATATTATAAATTTTTTTTGTTGTATTTGTACTTTTTAATATGTATTTGAATTAAAATAATTTAATTGAAATATATAATAAATATACTCTTAAAAATATTAAATCATTTTTATTAAAAAAAATAAAATGTAAATACTGTCTTCCAGTTAATTATGAGGTACACTGAAATAGTCTTATAAAAACAATTTTCTTGGTTTAATCAGATTTATAGATCATATTGTTCAGATATAACATTTCTGTTAAACCATGAATTGAATTGAATTTTTTTTTATTTCATTTGAATTGGATAATTTTTAATATATACCCGATTCTGTTTTCCACTTGAATTTCCCATTTTCACATCCACTACTCCTCATCGATGTCTGCACATATGCGAAAATTGATTTAATATTTTTTGTTTTTAATAAGAAACACTAATAAAAACACTATATATATTTTAATATTCAGTACAATAATATAGAGTCTTATTTTTTATGCTAAATGTTAACCGATTCCATCAAAATTTACAATAAACTGACAAAATAGCGAAAAGTTCAACGGCAGAAATCCAAAAACGAAAAGTTTATACTCGTAACGTATTCCCGCGTTTGCATGATCGATCGAACGGACACCAATGAAAGCAACACCAACAATTTCAAAAAAAAAAAAAAAAAAAAAAAAAAAAAAAAAAAAAAAAAAAAAAAAAAAAAGATATATAAACAATAACAACAACAGTAATGCGATTGTGATGACGAATAAGCCACTCTTCTTCTTCCTTCTTCTACCACAAATTCAATGCAATAAACAAAAACGTTTAGTATACAATTGAACGAAATAAACTAAAGTAAAAAAAAAAATATTAAATACAGCAATGAAAAAAATAATAAAAAAAAAAATATTACAAATAATAAAAAAGAAAAGGCAGCCAATGATCGTTTATTGTTTACGCCAATGAATGTAGTCAACGAAAAAATTCTCTTTATGGCCCACTGGGTCACGTTAACGTCTTCCGTTTACAAATTCAATTTCATAGCCAGAAAAACTGATTTATTTTCTTGTGTATGCAAACTTTTGAGTAAAAGTAAATATGAAATTTTATAGTTAATAATTTCAAGCTGTTAGCTTAAACGATAATAGATAAAAAAAAAAACAGATGATCATTTCAGATGAGCACAGAGAAGCAATTATATAACTTATAAGCAACTGAATCTCAACAAAAAGTTGCCAGTCAGTTACTTTTTATAGCAATTCAGTATATATATTGTGTACCTAATCGATAGTTGGAGCAGTTTGTCCCAATAAGATGCATATAACTCAATAATTATATAAAATATCATGTTTTCACTGCTTACTTAGTAAGTTACTTAGTAAAGTAACTAACTTTAAGATTTTGTCGTTTCCATTGACATAAGTTAATTAACGTATGTGAAAGAGCTTTTATGTGTCAGAAAGTTCTTTCAAAGTTCGAAGACAGCTTCTGTTTATTCAAATAAACTTCACTTAATAAAATATCACTGAAAAAATTAAATATATAACTGATATATTAAATCATTTATATATAAATATGTATACTTATTAGATCTGTTACATTATCAATTAATAAAAACAAAGTTTTTATTAAATACTTACTATCTCAGCGCCTTTGAATTCGACATTATTAGTCTAATTTTGCTTACTTTATTTTTAAGTAAGTTAAAAAGCACGGAAGTTCTTTGAGTAGTTAATGAATTTTACTTAGTAAGTTACAGTTACTAAGTTAGCAGTAGAAACATACTATAAAATATAAAAGACTAGATCTAATGATAACTCTTTTACAATAAGTAAATTATTTAAAAATGTGATAATATTCTATTAAGAAAGCAAAAAAGCCATAATAATAAATTTCTGATCTACTTAGTTCTTACAGACCAATATTTTAGGTTATAGATCGATAATATAGTAGTAGTGAACATATTAAAATAGATGTGAGTGGAATCACAGTACTTATATCAATACTGTAAAAATTAAATTACTGGTCTACCAATACCTTATTTTATGTATTATCCTTAACACCCTTAAAATAAGGGTGTTGTGACAAGTTCAGGTTTGTTGTCTCTGCTAAGTCAGTGAAGGAACGATCTTTAATATAATGAAGTTGCTTTATTGTAGACCTCGATTTTTGATTGATTCTATCTTCTCCGCATAGTGCAGAAAACATCGAAACCTCCTGCAATGGAGCTAACATCAGTGAAATCAATTAAAAACCATCAATTAAAAACCAGAGCTAGCAGCCGATTAGATATCAGATAGTGCGAAGTAGGGTAACTTGTCGGTTTTCGCGAATAGCTTCAGGGCTCTGTCTATTATGTATTTTTTGACCGGGTCATTGTCGCTTTTGTTTAAAGGAAGATAGTGAAAGAAGCTAGATTTACATAGAGCCATAACGTTCTTATTAACAATATTTATAAATATAAATATAAATGAATATAGAATTATTTTAAACAAATAACACATTTCGAACCTATACATTAAATTCTAATTAGATCTAAAAAGTAACAATAGGTATGAACTGCTATTCATAGACTCATTGCTCCTTAGCGACACTAATTGGAACAACAGGAATTATTTAGTATAAGAATAGATTTTAGTAAAGTAATATATATATACATATTGTAAAAATTATATTATAATATATAAGTTATAATTTTAAAGTAAAATTTTTCGTACATTGTATATATTAAATGAAGAAAGGCTATGCGTACATACAGAGCATTATTTAATTAAATTATTTTTGTTTGGAAAGACATTATGCTGTCCGATGAAGTAATTTAGATACTCCCAAAACTATTGTTGTCAATGGAAGGCAAAATTTGACCGCTGCTTGGATTTGTGCCAATAACTTCTGTATTTGTGTACTTTGGCATATTTATAAGGAAATCACATTTTATACCCAATGGCCTTTGAATAAAAACTAATTTGCCTTTAGTATATAGTTCACTAGCTAAAAAAGTGTTCATGTGAAGTTTAATTATATGTTAGGAGTCTATAATTTTAACTCTGATGACCTTGATCCATTATAGTGAAAGAAATGTTAACTTATTATCAAATTAAATAATTGTAACATTTTATTATTTTTTTAATATTATTAGCAGAGACGACGAAATTAATACAAACTTTGCGAAATCTAAAACGAACGGTTGAATCGTCATTATTGGCCACAAAGTAGACGCATTGATACATAGTTTGCCATTGTGTCGTCACACGCTAGCCAATTGCATATACAAGACATGTATTTAAGACATATAAGTGCACTTAGCATTTGCATAAAAGGTATAATGCACTTAGTATTTGAACTCTATGAAAGCGGGCAACAGAACGGCAATGAATTATTTTAAGCCACTACCAGATAGACACACACAGCAGCAGCGGTAATCGTCTAAAGACGCAGTGGCGTAAATGCATATAAGTGCAAAATTCCACCGAACTGGAGGCGGCAAAAGAATAGTGCATTGCACTTCATATATTTTTATGACCAGACAAATATTGCAGAACAAGACAATTTTTCTAAAAATAACAACAAAATTGTATCTAAATGTAGCAAATGCCATTTTGTTCGCACTTGAATTGCAGCGAAATATTCATACATGTAGTCTTGTGTTATGATCAGAAAAACAAAACCAAAACTCGTAATTGGTTTTTATATAAATACAATAACATGTAATTATTTCAATAAGATAATCCATTACCTTATCGTCATTGGAATTAATTTCCTTCAAAACTCCGCGACTGTAATTCGGCGATAAAATTACATTTGAGTTTGGCGCTTCCTTATTAAATGTTTGATCCATTTAATTATATTTATATAATACTTATTAAAGTTTAAATACACTGCACCATAAGAGCAAATTCTTCGTTTTGTATTTATCAGTTTTTTCAAACAAAAGTTGTATTTACTAATTGCATACACTTAACAAAAACTTCTAACAAGAACACCAGGCAATCCCGCTACAGTTAATAAAACAACAAATTTGATTTCATGTACAAGCATTGCAGCCAACTTATGCATAAAAATAGCGCGCTGTATTTTTCTTCACTTTTTTGAACACCAGGTGTCGCTGTTATTTTTTGCTATAGCAATGCAAAGCGCCTCTGTATGTGGGATATTGTTTATTAAATTTAAAAATATAATTCTTATTTATTGAAATAAATAAATTAAATTAATTGAAATATTTTATAATAAATTTATTATATTAAATAATGTATGCAAACAAAATATTTTTTATAATTGCACGTTTTACTTACATTAGGTTTATTTTTATTATTAAAATTTTAGATTTGAAAAAATGTGCTATCGCCATCTGTTAGTCTATTTTGGGTATGATTGCCGCATCGTTTCATAAAGGATGTATGATTTAAAATATTTTTAAAATAGAGGTAACAATATTACACAGCATTATATGCTATTTAAAATACATAAGCCGATATTGAGACATTAACCCATATCCGCCCAACGTTCGATTAATCGAACCGCAAATCTTATCATTTTTCATGCATTTTTTGTTTATATTAGAAAAACTTTAGAGTTTATATATATCATTACTTTGAATGTATAAAGCTTTAGCTTTACAAAAATATTTGTGACTTCACTCCATACCCCCCACCTCCTTACTAATCAAGCCTTAAAAAAACATTTTAACCAAAAATTCAAAAAAAAATCCTTGGGCGGATATGGGTTAATAATACTATGGAAAAGAGAATGAAAACATTTATACTTATTATTAAGGAATTTATTCTTTACATTATACTATGTACAGACAACCAAATTTCCTTAATTTAGTAAAAATGAAATTAAGTTAATTTCGAAAGTGTTCATACTGCTCTAAATTTAGGAAATCATATGATTTTTAACTACAAATCGAATGTTAAAAATAACATGCTCAAAACACCATTTGACTTGGGAAATTTTAAAAATTGATTAATATAACTATAAAGATGGCATTCAGTAGTTTTATTAGCTTTAGTGGATTTCAGGTATGTGCATTTTTATTTTCACTCTATTTTAAATTAATTACAGTTACAGTTCATTCTCTATATTTAATTTTAAAAATTTGCATTACTTTCAAAATATTTGCCGATTTTATTAAAGTCAACTGTCATTGACATTTATTTAAAAAAAATGTCACTTTTTCGTTATCTCAACTTTATCTTATGCTTAAAATTTATCTTACGCATAATTGCATTTGAAATGTCCCTTAATTTCAGCCTTCGTTTCAACGAAATCAAGGCCATTTTCTTTAATTTTATTCTAACCTTGAATCTCTATTTTATATAGGAAAAACAACTTAATTTCACTGAAACAAAGATGACATTAAGATTTTTGCAAAATTAAGGTGTGTCTGAACATAGTATTAAAGTATTTTAAAAATAAATTAAGGTAACAATATTATATAGCATAATAATGCTATTTAAAATTTAAAATACATAAGCTGATATTGAGACATTAATTTCATTATGTTATGTTTGTGATCATTTTGTCAAAATTCGTCAAAATTTGTTTCATTTATAATTGTATCTAAAATAACCGAGGAAAAATATTTTTATTTATTTTGACACTTCAAATTATCTTTGGTATGCAAAAGGTGTTTCTATTAAATACATTGAAGTTGTATTTAAACGTCGAGCATTTAAAATATTATCATTAAGAATTAAAAATAACTTTTGTTATTATAATGCATTACTATTCGACTGTATATATATCAAAAATTAAAACTAAATTTAACATATATTTATAATAGTACATATTAAAGTTCTTGAATTTAATCAACTAACCTTAAATAATTTTATTTCTCTGCTTGCATATATAAACAAATATTACAAAAATAAAATAATATTCTACACATTTATAGTAACAACAGTTAATAGTTGTATTATTATAAATATAGAACATATTAATTCGTTGGAATTAATTAATTGGAATTAAATTTCGCTTTGCAATTATTATCATTATCATTGATAGATTATATCTTCGTTAATGCAAGCAGTCAGTGCTCAACTTAGCTCAAATATTTTCTTTAAAATAAAAGCAATATCTAAAGTGGTATCAATAACAAAGTCATTGCAGTTGTTAAACATAATGAGAATATAAAATAAATAAAATAATTTAAAAATCGTAATTTGTTGAGAAACTCTCTGTGTTAAAACTAAGAGCAGAAAACTAAGGTTGTTTTCTTTAGTTCCAAAAAAAAACAATAAAATAATCTTCAAGAGGCGAAAATATATAAATTGGTCAATAAGATATGAAGTGAATGATATAATACAACACTTATTAATTGATATATATTAAAATAAAATGAAACATTTAAAATACTTTTTTAAATTTTTATTTAGAAAAATATTGCTCTTTACAATTATTTTCATTTTTAACATTGAATTGAAACAAATTTTTAAACTACTTTGCATAAATTTAATTTAATTTATTCTATTATTTATTTATTGTATGTATTCGAGGTTTTTGCTTGATTATAAGTATTCTTTTAGATTTAATAATAAATTAAATATTTAAAAGTAGTTACAGATATATAATTTTTAATTTTTAAGGTACATTTATTCATAGAGAAAATTTATTAAATTTTCTTTTCTTAGCTTAGCATTTATTTCAAAATAATTTTGTTTTAATATATAATGTCTTTTAAGTTTTTTTTTAATTCTTTGAAGAACAATTTATAAATATAATTATAACAACAATATAGAAGAATATTTAATAAAATTTATCTTCGACTAATCTTCAAAATTATGAAAAATAATTTATAATTAAATTATTTTTTATGATAAGAATTTATACTGTTTTTAATTTTATTTGATTTCATATTTTTTTAAATAAACAAAAATGAAACTATTTTTCGATTGACTATCAAATACAATAGTTTATATGATTATATGAACGCTGTAAATAATACACATTAACGTATTTTTTTAAAACAAAAAATTATAATAACTAATGATGTATAGCGTTTTTTTAAAACATATATGTGTATAAATATATTATTTAAAATTTAAATAGTTTTAAAATAAAATTCAATAATACAATTATGTTTATGCTTTTATTTTATAATTTAATTAATTATTTTTAAAATAATTAATTAACTATTTTGGAATTAATTTAATTATTTAATTTTTATGAAAAATGGTTAATAAATTGAAATTATTTATAATATATTATAACAGAAACAGTTAGTACTTATAAAACCATAATTCAGTTATTAGCTTTTTAAGGTACTTAATTAATTGATTTTTAAAATAATATATTTTTATGTAATTTTTAAAATATAAATATATGCAATTTATATGTAAAAATGTCTTATTGTATTATTTCATTGGAAACTTCATTACATTTGTATATATTATTACTAATAGATTTTAAAAGTACTTTATTACATATATTAAAATTTCATATGCAAATATCTTTTATATATTCATATTACATAGTTGAAGTTTCATTATATTTAAAATTCTAATTTTTATTTATTAAATATATTCGAATATAAATTTTTTAATTACTTATATATGGTAGTCGCAAATTTTAATTATCAAATCTGTTGTCTACATTAAAATTTTAATGTGTTACATATTTATTTATAATATTATTAGTAATATACTAAATTATATGCTTAAACATTTTGAGCATTTTCTACTTTATAATAATATTATTGAAATTTTTTTAATTCATACAAGAATTTTATTTAATAGTTGCGTTTATAAAAATTGATCGGCATTTTAATAATTTTAAGCGCTACATTTTTGTTGATTTTAAAAGTTGTCGTAATAGTGGTTATAGTTTCGTGGTTTAATAGTTGTAAAAATGAACTTTTTTTAAGCAGTATTCGGCATTTATTTGTTAAAATAAAATTCCCTATATGTTTTAAACCTGAATTAGTTATTCGCATTTTGATTATTTTCATATATATTAAAAATTTTATATAGCGTGTAGTTAATAGAGACACTATTTTGTGAATTTTCAATGAAAATGGGCTTTCGTTAAGTGCTTATTATAATATAGGCAATTGCTAGTATATTGAGAAAATGGTTCAGTGAGATTTTGTGGACTACAAAAACAATTGATATTAACATGTTCGAATTTCTGAAAGTATGTCTTTAAAGAGGATATATAAAATATTTGAACCAGATAACACATACAAGAAAAATGTTCTTAAGTTTTGGTGGATTACTTAGTAATAAAATAATACATTATCAACCAATTCAGTTATAGACAATCAAACATATGTATTATATGTATAGTATATAAATCTGTATATATGGGTTCTTTAAAATAATCCATGTTGAACATGTATAGAATCTAGAACACAGTTTGATATAACATATGTGTTTATAGCAGAAGAGGGTTAAGCATATTCATCAGTCTATTGATCATTAAAGTTCTATAACGAATGAATGTTTGTACAAAGTCTATATTGTGATTTCCGAATCAAATGCGATGGTCAATAGGTCGTGGGTTTCGTTTCGTTTATTGTATATTAAGTTTTAAATTCTAATTTATCTTTTAGTCAAATAAGTTAATATATATATATTTTTTATTCTATTTTTTTATATTCTTATTGCACATTTTGTAATTATTATGTATGATCTGCAGAACTGCTTAATAATACAGAAATCTTCGTATGTTAGTACAAAAACGAAATGGTATTGTGTATAGAGAAATTTTACTACAACTGTTTGTTATACAGAAAAATGGGGTTTCTCTTCCTAAGGTAGTAATTTATTATATTTTGCATATTAATGGAGTTGAAAAAAACCAATCCGTACTATTAGTTTTAATAATATAAATTAAATAATTTTTTTTTCGGAGGGTAATAGGGTGGATTAGAACATTTTTTAAAATACTAGAGAGATATATTTGGTGAACATGGGTAGAGACCCTTATTTTTCTAAATAAATATTAAATTTTTCTCTTCTGATATGTTCTTTAAATATTCTTAATGGAGATTTGAGTAATACAATATGATGGAAAAACAATATCAATTGTTTTCGTATGGTATATACTATATACATTTATGTATATTTATCTAAAATTGAAAGGCCTATTACCACTATTATGTTATATACTCGTATATTATTAAAAAAATTTGTTATTATTGTACAGTTTAAAAAAAAATAAGCAAAAAAACTGTAACAACTGAAACCAACCAAAAATTTGTTGGCTTTAGTTTATACATGTGGGTTATCATCATGACTTTTGGTTGTCCAAACGCCAGGCAATAACTGAGGAGGTAGATTCGAGTTTGGTGTAGTCAATTTCGTAATACTTGTAAAAATTGTATGCGGTGTAGCACCTTTGGTGAAGCCTTTATTATCGATACCGCAATCACCAATATTTGTCATTTGTGTTGCTTGAGCCATATTATTTGCAGAATGTGTTGATTTTTCTTTGGGTAGAGTGCGGGGACTAGAAATGAAAGCGGTTGAAATACCACCAATTATAGCAAGCGAAGCGAATGCCGTTTGCGGCACAAGTTGCCCGAAAATCACAGTTGCACCGATAAATGGTGCGCCTAACAGCCAAAAACGTGCCCAACAAATTGTTGAAAAAGCACAAATCTTTTTCTTATCATTACTAACCAGTTCAACGGTGCATGTTGTCAATATGGAGAGTGTTGTGGATATTGCTGTTTTTGATACCATCGCGGAGAGCATAAGTAGAGCTACACGAGCATCGATGGGTACTACAATAAGAAAAAATATTTAATAAGTCACCTTTTTTATACAAAAATTTAAAATTGAATAATGTCATCTTCAGTACTCACTGTTTTCTGGTACGATCCAACCCATATACGCTATGCAACCAGCTACAACATTAAACAGTCCTGTCCATAACCATTTACGCGTTGTTTTTACTATTAAAAATAATCCAATAAAAGTACCGATTATCTCACAAAGACCAGCTACAGCTGTATTCACTTCCAAATGTTCACGACTAAATGAACGTATGTTTAATAACATGCCATAGTAGACCACAATATAAATAGCCCAAGCTAAGTGCACGCAAATCATGTGACGTATAGCACGTTCACCTTTCCACAGTGTCCACCAACCGGCAGGTGGTGGTGCGTCCATTGCAGTTTGTGCTTGTAGTTGCAGCTGCTGATCTATATTGTACGGAAGACTGTATTGTGTGCCATTTATTTCCACACATTGCAGCAATATTTTTTTTGCTTCAAGTACGCGACCACGTGCTATCATCCATCGTGGTGAATCTGGTATCCATCTGTTTTAAATACATCATATTAAAAATAAACATTTAGAGAATTTTATAAAAGCTACTTACTGCCATAAATAGATAAGTATCACAGTTGGCCAAGAAATAGCCATATAAAGATGCGACCAACTTGAAAAGAAGCTGGATACACCCGGTAACAGCATAACGCCAATTGACCAAAATTGTTCGAATAATGTCGAAACATACGTTTTATATTTTCCACCCGTTATATCCGCCACTGTAAATTAAGTTGAATATTATATATCTTTTCGCGAGTTTAGTTTTTATAGACTTAGGTTTTATAGACTTACTTATCATGCCACCTGCGGTGTACATTTGCGCGCAGCAAACCGCTGATAGACACCGGAAGAATACGTGTAGTTCGTAGGAAGCCACATGACCGGTTAAGTTGCCACATATTATTTGTGTTATCATACCAAAGAGCATGACATTACGAGGACTAAAACTATATAAATAATAACAAAATAATTATTAATAGACAGAATTTTGAATTGGTTTAAAGATTAATATGAAGAATTCGCACACATATAAATTATCTAAATGATCTTGCAATAATATTCTATAGTTTATCTTAAGAATATCTACTTTATATATAATAGTGGAATATCTAATAATATATTATATATTATAGCTAAAATATCTTTATGGTTAATATTTATCTTGTAGTTAGGTTTTCATATATTGTTATCTCTGGTATAATATCGATTTTCATAATTATTTATAACCTTGTATTTTCAGTATATAATTCACGCTTGAATCTACGATTTTCTTACTGAAATCAGAAATATCTAACACTTTGGTTTGGTAAGGTTAGGTTTATGTCATTGTATATATAGGAGAATTAAGGGTTTAAAATCACCTAGAACATTTGAGGAAGCTTAAAATGAAAGAAGGTTACTAAATTGTTGTGTCACCGCCGTGTATGAGGTGGGCAAAGACAAAGTAGATGAGTGGCAATCTAAAACTTACAAAGTAATAAAAAGTAGCTCTTTTTCCATTAAAGTACTCTTTTTTTATTTTTTTGTTGATCAATAAGGAATCTAGAGTCTGTTACCTTATGTCATTATGTACGTCTTAGGGCAGAAACAGCCCTAATACTTAATAAAGTATTAGGTTTCCTTTGCAGATCTTTCTAATTAACGAAACTGCTAAAAACTTTTGATTTCGTTATTAATATTTAACTATCTTATGTTAGTCAAGATGTATTTAATGTACTTAAGGTTTAGATATATGTATAAACTAGATAGCTTTTATTTCCTATCGTTAGACAGAGAGAAGATTGAATTATTTTCACTATTTCTCCCCAATTTTTAATGACATTCTAAAATGTACTCAAACTTCAAATTAAGAGACTAACAGTCTAAGATATACGGTGAAGTGTCAAGATATTATATATTATATAAATCAGGCAATATATTGATCTACCATTTTTTTACTTACTATTTTAGTAGATGATTTGCAAGTATACCGCCTGTCAGCACACCGAACAAATGGAAGAATTGTGTTACCGACACTAAAATATCACGTGAGCACACCAAATCGTATTGTGTTATAACAGAATGAAATTCAGCTTTATGCTCGAACTGAGTGCAGGGTATAACATTTGCATTGCGTGCTGTTGGCTCCTCCCAGACTTTTGGTTCTAATTCTCGTTGTTCATAGTGATAGTAATGATGTGCATGCTCTTGAGCATCTCGATAAACGTTACAGAAATCTATGACAAACTCCTTGTCATCAAGTTCTTCTTTCTGTGGATGTGACACTTTAATCCAAAGAGTTTCATTCTGCGCACCCACAGCTGGCGGTGGCTTACAGAAGAATTCACCATGTCGTGGTGATGGTGCAGTAAAAATAATGCAAGCCATGAACCAACTCGAAGGAATCTTACATAGAAATATGAGTAACACGGTACGTAGTTGCCATCTGCCCCATTCGCCAGTTACACGACCAACTGCGTCCACTTTTGTTTGCATTTTATTTGTTTGTCGCGGTGCTTTACCTTCTAAACTTGAAAATGAGTCCTTCGGGTATAGACTGTATGAGTGCGTGTGTGTATTTGTAGCGCTAGCGCTACTGTAATTTTGTGGATTTGGTGAATTTGTATCTTTAGTATTATAGTTGTTGCAGATGTTTTTGCACTGGTCAAGTTTATTTATGGGCGTTTGGTTGGTGTCAGTAATCGTTATCTGTGGTTTTGCATTACTGTGATTTAGTGCGACTCCCACATCAACGTTAAATCTATTTTGTAGAGTTCCCGAATTACGTCTATGATCGTAATCAACTTTATTTGGTGTGCTGTGTTGTGGCGTGTGAGAGTTGAAATTACTCGAGCCGCGTCTTTCAGTATTTGCTGCAGATCCTCTATGTAGGGGAGAATTGCACGTTGTATCTACAGCGGTATAATTTGTTAGATTTTTATTTGATATGTTTTTCGGTGCTGGAGTGTGATTATTATTATTGTTGCTGTTGTTGTTGTTGTTTTCTTCAGAGAAACTATGCGATTTGTTGCGCAGTAGTGGTGATTCAACCTATAAATGCAAACAAAAAAATGTTTATTATTCGATTGCTTATTTCTTAATTAATATTATAAAAAAAAGAGTTTTCTAAAAGTAGTAAACTACAACAACAAAAATTATTTTTTATATTATTTTAATTAATTGAGTTTTTGGTTTATCATACAGCTGTTTCGAGTATTGCCTAATACCTATGATCAGTGGTCTAGGAAATAATTCTTGTATTTAATTATTCATTAATAGTTTTTTGAGACTGCAAGTATCCAGGAATCGAACTCGTGACCTACGAAATTTGAAGCTCATAGTCAACGCTCCTTAACCTAGTAACCCAAAGCCGTTCTTGAATTTTATATTATAAAAAAAATTAAATAATAAACACAAAATTTCAAGAATTTTATTGATTATTAATTATTAATAAAATAGTTAATTACTTTATAATTATTGAAATAAATATTTTGAATATTAATATTTTTGAATATATTATATATTCCACACTAATTTAAAGTATATATAAATATATATTAGCATATATATAAAAATATATAAAAAATTAAAGCAGATGGTATCACCACGTTAAAATTTTTTTTTATTTGATAAATGTTTATAGATATAGATTTTTTCAAAATCCATTTATGCTTAAAATATTTTTTGTTTGATGTAGTATGAATAGAATTGACTTCAAGATTTGTCCTTAACTTCTAATGGTGAACTAATAACGATTTACTAACACCCTTTGTATTAGTTGTCAGTCCTCCTTTTAACGCTTCCATTTTCACTTCTTAAATGTATTTACTTTGAACCTTTTTGCTATTTCATTGTTCATTGTTTAGTTAAAATGAACATGAAATTTAATACCTTCCCTTTGTCTACTTTGGACTTCTACAACTATTTTTTCTCTCATAATAGACTATGCTTAGGTCGGTCAGCATTATTTTGATTCTTTATTGTCAATATTTTTTGTTTGGACTTGTAAATAAACTATTTTTATCAACAAAGTAAATACGAAATATTATTTGGTCAGGAACGACTATCGTTTTCCTCTTCTTTACATACTTAATAAAATTAGTTTGATCAAATGAAACTTTCAAGATACGTTTAAGTTATTCTTTATTAACTATGATGACATCATTTTAATTTTTATTTTTTTAGATCTGGAAAAACCTGAATAAAAACTTTTATTGTTGATTTCTGTTTTTTTTTTATAGAGAAAACTAAGCATTTCTGTCTTAAAGATTCTCGATTTATAGATTCAATATTTTGTTTTGATATAAATATAATAAATAATATCAAAACGAAATACATGATCATATAGTTCAATATAGTGGTAGCAGACATGACAAAAATAACTATAAATACTTAGAGTGGCTTCTAACGAGAAAAACGCAACGATTAAAATTCAAGACTGAGTACAAGCTGGACATAGGTCCTACAACAGTGAGAAACAACTTATGTCATCTTAAAAAAATAACGAAAAAAACTAAGATGCTGTTATATAAAACAATAATACACCAGTAGTAACTTATGGGCGTGAAGTTTGGAAATTATTAGGTAGGAAAGGGAACAAGCTATCAGTATGGGAAAATAATAATACGAAAAATATTTGGCCCAGTGTAAGAAAATTAAAAATATCGAATTTGATACCATCTTACGAAAGATCTTTTGAAAGATTTTTTGTATTCTTGAAATGATCTCTTCCAAGACTGAAAGGATCTTTCTAAAGACCAGATGGGAGATCTGCTGTTGATCAGATTATTTGATAATCACCTAAGATTTTATTTGTGTTTGTTGTGTTTTTCTTTTACTCAAGATATAAATATATCTCATTAATTAATGACTTATAATAGCTATAATCACAGACACATATGGACTTGATTTATATATTTTGTAATGTAAAATGGCAAGATTAATTAAATATATATAATTTATATATGTAATATATATAATATATATGAATAAGAAAATAGTCCTTGTGCAAAATAAGAAGGAAAAATATTTTTGGGTGTTCATATTATGTTAATATTATGGTACTATATTTTACTATATATCTGAAACATTAAAACATTTTAAAATATTAACTTCTGTTAATTTATAATTTGTTTTTATAAATAATTTTGTCGTGAATAGATTAGAATACGAGTAAGTGTTTTATTAAGTGGTATACAGTATACAAATAATTAGATAATATAATATTTTTAGTTTATAAAAACGTTTTTATTTTATAGTGTCATTCGCATTGAATAAAAGTATTCGCTATTTTTGCGTGAGCATTTATGTGTAAATTTAATTTGTTTATAAAATAATTTATATAAAAGTGTTTGCCTTTAAAATTTTCAAATATTCAACGGTAAAAAAACACAACAGCCATTATTTTCTCCACAATAATTTCCGACTTTAATAAAAATTTATATAAAAATATGCCGAAAATGCAGAAAAAAATTAAATTCACTGTCCTTTATGGGTGATAAAGTTTTATATACCTCTGACTCCTTTGTTTTAGTAGCAATTCTAAGCTGGTATTGTATAAATAGAGCTATAAAATACTCTTGCTTGTTTGTTTTTTTGATTCCACATCACATTATGTGCCCATTGACCATTTTCCAACATCAAGGAACACAGGAAGCAAAAAGCCCAATTGAGGAAGAATGTGAAACTAAACTTATAAAAATTAAGTGGATGCAGTTCATGTAATTTCTACTTGCTCTTACTGGTTTATACACGGAAATTATGACATATAAGCATTTGAGATAGGAGAGCGGAGCAATATTAATTTGATGGTAATTTTGATGCTTCAATTGATATAAATTTTTTTTTGCATAGTAATGTACTGAATTTTTGGAATAAATTTTTGCAATACATTATAATAAATTTGTTTTTGTTTTTATATTTAATTTATTATATATCCCATACAGTTTATCTATATTGTCAATCAATATAAATGTAAGAAAAATATATTATACACATAAGCTTTTAGGTGACATATTATTCTTAAAAAACCTGCATACAAATCAGCAACTTGAAGTGTTCAATCAATCACTCAATCTTTGTAAAAGGATGTGATACTTGCCTCGTGTGAGATTAACTGTTGCGTTGAACCCAAGCATAAAAAATTACACCTACGTATAACTCAGAGATTCATCAAAAAGTTGAAATCAGCAAAAGTTATAAAAAACATTTTTATAATGCACTCTTCGTCTTTTCTTTGCCACATAAATGTATTTTAATGGAATTTATAACTGCTAGAGCTTCCCTTAAAATAAAACATATTTCATATCCTTTTGTCCTAGTAAAAAAGTTAATGGAAAATCGAGCAATAAAAAGCAACTGTCAATAAAGAGTTGACCATGACCTCTTCTACGTCATCGATTATGATATCAAAAAAGTATCATATGCTCGCCCACATACTTACAACTTACTTACAATGCAATATATTACGACATTGCTTTTATGTGTATACTTGTAAATAGATTTCCCTGGGGACAATCGTGCCGGCTGATGAAACTTTACTAAGAAAAAAATTAGTCCACAGGTAGACAAATTACGTATGGAAAGCATTAAGGCACACTTTTTGTTGGTTCATTTGCTTTGTTGACTGTGTAAATAAGAGAGCATATGTTCGGAGCAATTCTGGGTTAAGTATTTACACAAATGGAAGTATTCTGTACTTATTTCTTACTAAGCAATCATCATTAGTGTCATGAATTTTTTCGTGATTTACTAAAATCAATATAGTCAGCACAAATTGGAGTATTGGTTTTAGAATTAAAATTTTTTTTGGATATATCAAATCAAATCTGAAATTTAGAAATACAATTTGTATGCATAAAATTAATTAATCAAGATCGTCTGGTAATTATAATATAACAGAGAAAACCTCTCCTTAACAGCAGAATGTACTTCCCCTATATGTCGAAATACATTTAATAAGGTTAGGTATGTTAGTTAATAGAAATTTAACTGAGAAAGACTATTATTTTAAATTAAGACAATAGTAAAAAAGAATTGGTATTATAATGTGTGTTGGCCAGAGTAAAACAAATATATAAGATCTTTGGTGAAAAGAGAGTATTCTTGATGATTTATTCAATCTCTGAAATGTTATGGTTGTATATAGTGAATTCTCCGTAGCTCTGCGAGAGCATGGTGTCGCTGAACGTAAGTTGAAATAAATGCAATATCATCTGCGATAGAACCATATATTAAAGGCATCATAAAGTACACACATATATTGTTGATAGAGTTGTATTAAGTTGATATAGATATATTGATCTACTTTTCACGGTTTTTCTTTTTCGGTGCATTTGGTTCATAAGTTTTAAACCCAGACGGTTGAACATTTGGTACGTTTGGTATATAGGAAATATTTATTATTTGATAGAATGATCTAAATTAAATATTTTTAATAAATTCTAAATGTGTAGACAATTTGGTTTGTAACGATACTAGATTTGAGTCCCTAAAGGTCCTTAATGGTTATGCATATTACTTGAGATATATGTATCATTAGCTAATTTTGCAACATAATTTATTCAATATCAGGGACAAGATTTTTAGTGCTACTGAAGGGATATTCCAAGACTTTCCTGATGGTCAGTTCTGTGTATTTGTTGCAATCGTCACTGTTGATGATGATACCAGTGACTTTGCAGGTACTTAAGTATTTATCTAAGTATTTGTATACTGTACACCACTCTGTACTTTGATCAATTAGTGCTAATTTTAACATTTTTGTGAACCCTTTGATTCTTTTCAGCCTTGTCATATACGCCTTTATGGTCAGAAACCGATCTTACTCACAACTCACTGCTATGAGTCAATCTGTCTATTGTCTTCTTGCATTGCTTTATATTTTTGAAAAATACCCAGATGTGAATATATTGCTTTCATGCCCACTTTAATTTTAAAAACTTTAATTTATTATATACTAAAAAGTTATTTTACTTCGTGCAATTCATAACTGCGTTTAATGACAATGAAATATTAATATACTATGTGCTGTATTATAATTAGATATGATT